ATTTTCTTCTTAAGTTACAATAAGAACTTTTTCAGTATTAATGATAGAATGGGGTTTTTATACAACTATCCTAAAAATTAATAATATTCTTGAATTAACATAAAGTGAAAAAAGTAAATCAAAAAATCTTCTTTAATCTATTTCTTGTTATTAGAATTCAATGAAATCATAACTATTAAACAAAAATAAATTATAAAAATTTATATTTAAATCCACATTTCAGAGTGTTCATAGCATTCCAAATTGACTTAACTTCAAAACAAACTTCATTTGCAGACAGAGGTGGTAATTCATCTCAATTTGACAGATAAAGATAATGCTCTGGATTTTCTTCAGGAGGAAAGCTAATTAATCCCAAGGGACTCATAGCAGCATTCAGTTTAAAATGGGAACATCTTCAGCAGTTATCTCTCTTTGCCAATGCTTTCGTATATAAAGTTACGGAATCTACCCCACCACCCCAGCTCCAAACCAGGGGACATAGAGAACCAAACTTAGCATCAAATTATGTATTTCTGCCTACTGAACTATCATACCAAATTTGTACATGATTGGGCAACCATAAAAAAAGTTGCCCATTCATTCTTATGCATAGTTAATGAATCTACCCCACCACCCCAGCTTTAAACCAGAAGACATAGAAAACCAAACTTAGCATCAAAATATGTATTTCTGCCTACTGAACTACAATACCAAATTTGAACTTGATTGGGCAACCACAAAAAAAGTTATTAGAAAAAAACAGAAAATTTGTGGACGGAAGAGTGACAGACGGACAGACAGACAGACAGCTAGACAGACAGACGGACAGACGTACGGACAGAGTGATTACTATAGGGCACCCGCAAATCCTTGCGGGGCCCTAATTACAAAGATTTCGGACACTGATGTTACTTAGAATGGATGTGAATTTAAAAAGCACATAACCCCAAACAGGATTAAATACAAATTTATCTTAAGCATTAATGAATTTTAAAAAAAGATGTTGACTTGATGATTTAATTATGCACAGTATTCCAATACTGTTAGTGACAAATGATAAATATCCGAAATGAAGATCTGCATGTAAGTCGGCAGTGAGGTGTGTTTTATTTTGGCTAGCAGTTAAGTTTTAATCCAAGCCACCACTTTTCACGGTCTTTCTGAAAGCTCTTTCAATGGCGGACAATAAATATTTTGGAGTCTTCAGTTCTCTCTGTACTGAATTGATCTTAGTGTAAGATAGTAACGCTAGTTAAATACTTACCAGCAAAAACAGACAGTTGAACAGGACAGGTGTGGAATAAACAGTAGAGAAGAACAACCCATTGCTGTCAAAGTACTGCTCCTTCGTAAAAAGTCTTAAACAAGAAAAATAATGCATTGAATAATTACCATGATGATTTCTTTTAACTTATCATGAAAACATTTCACAAGGTGATTGGGTGGTTCTGTTGCACTACATTTAAGTTTTCATACTGAAGTAATAACTAAAACTAATCACTGTACTTTTACGCATTGGAAAACACTACAGTAAAAGCAATGTTTTAATCACAGATTCTGTTCGTAATCAATTTACACAAATGGAAAAATGCTTACTTCCAATTTTTAGCTGCCAGCTCATTTAAATTCTCAGCAAAATACACAGACAAAACTGCAATAGAGGTTAAAAAATGGAACACTCTAAATTCACTAGTGATTGCAAAGAAATACCAATTAATATTAATACTCCAGATAGGTAGCATAAATCACAGGAGTTCAAATGTTAGCAAATTTAAGTCAACAGGAATATGCATCCTAAAGTTTGATAACTTTGTAAGGGTTTGGAATGTGGCTTTCTCCTTTTCCAGATTTATTAATGCAGAATATGTATCTGTACTTACGTAAAATAACAAATATAACAGCCTGGATTGCTCCACTTCTACGAGTGACAAGGATCAGGAAGAAACAGGTGATATGGAACATGAAGAGTGCTATCAGCCACTTCTCTGTCCAGTCAATCTACTCAGATAAAACATCATTGTGAGTTTTATTAAGAAAGTTCCTTACACTACTAAATGAAAATTGATCTGAATAAACTATGAACAAGGCTCCCCTTCAACAACATCTTATTTTTCTTTGGGAGGACCTCAGGTGTGTTGGCTTAGCATGCTTTTCCTAGATGCAATTATGCCATTAGATTTTGTCCAGATTATGCTCACTTATTCTGTTAGGAGCAGCTGATCACAGGTACTTGTCTTGATTTCTAGATATGTATACCTACTGAACATGCTGAATTTGCTTTTATACATAATATGATAATTATATCAATAGTGTTGGTAATATTCCTTGACACTTCACGGTCAAACCAGGACCCAGTACCACAGGCACTTGAAGTGTAAATATTGAGTATATGTATGTACAAAAAAAACTTGCACATGCACATACTCAATATTTACATGAAACTTCCAGTGCTCGTGCCCAGTACCTGTTCAGTTGACCAGCGGTCGTTTTTGATCATTACATGTTGCACAACAAACTTTTGAACATAGGCATAATCAAATATTGAATGTGCATATTTGTTTTATCTCTAACTGGTGGATCGGATTTGTCCCACCGATTAATAAATATTTATATATATACGCAGTTTACAGTGTGTACAACATTCGCGAATGTTCCAACATCATTTCTGACGATATGCATCTAACATTACTGTTCTTACCGTGGCAATGTAAGTGAAGAAGTCATTGACTTCGTCGATTCTAACAGGTCTCTCTGGTCCTGTACTTTCCATGTTAATAGAGATTCTTATTCCCTCATCCGCACCGCATTGATCCCCACGTCGTGTTTACATGTCGAGTACATTGGAATATCGAACCCGATCAAAAATGAAACGGTCCGATGGGCCTGGTACATGATATAAAACAGCTAGGACAGAAAGGTTTGTAGATTGTTGAGAAAGATTATATATATACTTTAGGTCAATGTAAAAATATATAAACAGGCTAGGGGGTGTGGGGGGATAAATCAGATAGTTTTAATAAATGTATAATCATGATCGTGAATTCATGTACATAAATAACATGAATAAGTTCTGAGCCAAAATATTTGTTATATTATATATATAGGTCACACTGTGAAATGTATGGAGATAACGAACATTTTTCAACCTCAAAAGCCCAATAAACGATACAAAATAGGATCAGAGCAAACCACGGACCTCCAATCCATCAGGTATGGGATAAGGTGCCATAGAGGTTTGAGCAGGATCCCCGGTCACAACCTTCGTGTGATTCTTGTCATGATCGGGATATAACGGAAAAATCCGTCGACAATTCAGCGTGTAAATAATGGCATAATACAGGGGCGTAGCAACAGGGGGGGGGGCACTTTTTTTCCCAACCTTACTTATACTATAGGAAATGTTAGTTGAAAGCCTGGTTGGCCCGACCACTTTTAGTGATGTACCGAAAATGTAGTATTAGAATTGATACTGAAAGTAGTTGACACTGAGAAAAAGTCCCCCCCCCCCCCACGAAATAGGATTTTCGGGTTTGGGCAACTTTTTCCTTTTTCAGGTAAGTAAAAAAAATTCTCTGGATGCTCCCCCCCCCCCCCCCACTTTCAAAAACGATGCTACGCGCCTGTAATAATTATTATAAAAAAACTCCAGTCAGCAATTACTGACAAGGTCATTGATTTGTATCGACCATAGTTAACTTACGAAATGAAAACTTTAAACGAGACGGTTGATATTCTTGTTTCATCAACTCGTTTGTCAATAATTTACATAGTTTTAGAAATTATACATACGTACATGTAGAGCAAGCTCTTGCTCTTGCGTATCGAATCAGCTGATAGATATAAACCCCTTATGCCGGTGATGCAGTTACACACATGTATTGTTGCATTAGTTTAGGGAAGTTGGCGATTCAAAATTTAAAATTATAACGTATATAATCATAAAGTTTGGTTGTTAGATTACCTTTAACGTTTCTTGTAAAATATCCAAATATTAAGTAGACAGACTCGATGGTAGGGATGGGTATCTCCAAAAATTTCGTATCGCGATATATCACGATTTTTTCCCGCAATATCACGATAATATCATGATATTTCTTAAAGCAGTTTTTACAATGATTTTAAATGAATAGTCATTATTTTTCGTAAAAATACGCTAGAAAAACAGAATTTCACTTCTTTTTTTGGAATTTTTTATATGCATGAAATTAATCATGTTTGGTTGGTAAGATGCTGTTCTTTTCACAACATTTTTTTTTAGACTTTCTATAATTGTAATTTGAAAGATTGAACAAATTAATAAATAATTTCTGGACTTTATAATATGTACCTAAATACCGGTATTTAGGTCTCCGTATCACGATACGTATAACGCATTAAAAAATCGCGATATACCGGTATACCGATAAAATCGCACATCCCTACTTGATGGTATATTTTATTTCAAGCTCACCGGGATATATCGTATCGACATAAGAATGGAAATAACCATTGTGTTAAAATTGACAAAACATCGTCGATATATCTAAATGTCGAGTTGAAGACCAGGCAAGTATTTTCTTCTTTTTACGCAAAAAAATCGGCTTCATATGAATACAAAAAAGGTTTGCTGATAACGGGGCAAAATCGGTACCCATGCGATTTCCAATGAATTGTAGAAAGATCCCGATTTGTCTCCAGAAATCACATACGTGTACACAAAAAGTCATGTAGATATTGTGAATTAGAAACTCAAGCATATTTTTTTCCCCACACATTTATTCAAATATATAAAGCCAGAATTTTACATTACCCCTACAACCCAACCTGCCAGTGACTAGGGGGTATGGGGTGTTATAACTTAAATCACAGTCACTCAACCATGTATACAGATAAAAATTCACTCAAAAGACAGAAGAAAGGAGACGGAGAGAAAGAAAGGTATTAAACTCTGGATGTTCTTATACAAACCCTATATATATACATTCCTTGAACTATAATTACACTATTTTGTTTTTGGATAATAGACAAATTTCTAGTTAAATATGGTTCTATATATTTTTGATATCAACTTCATAGTGTTTGTGTGTACAATCAAAATGTTTTAAACAAAATTATAATTTTGAAAATAATTATTTTTAATTGATAAAACATCGATGGTCGAATTGAAGGCCACAGAAAGTATATTCCTCTTCTCATATAGAAGTTTTTGAATATACTCAGTAAATTCTAAATCTGCTTCATATGAATATACATGTATAAGGGGTCTGCTTATAAAGGAGTACAAATCGTGCTCATCGCATTTCTAACAGTTCGTTGGAAAACTTGAAATTGAAGTAGCAGTTGTCTATGATATCAAAATGTCTAGATTTGAATTTAACTTTGGAGGTGTAGTGTACGAGGGGTGATCAAAAAGTTCGCGAACTAATTGAATAACTTCCATAAAAGAAACAATATTTGGTTTCAGTGTTGAATATACTTTAAAATATTTCCATTTCTTATTTTTGTCTCTGTGATAACTCTTTAAAACTTAGCGGAGTTAATTTCTTGATAAACCTGTCGGAATGTAAATTAGGCAGGTCGAAAGGTCAGGAGCTGGGGAGGCCTAATATGCTTACGGAATCACTGTCCAGTTTTGAGAGTATGCCAGGGCATCAACAATAGTGGGAAACATGGGATAATTTGCATAACGGGCGAAGCCCGTTATGCTTAAATTATCCCATGTTTCCCACTATTGTTGATGTCCCTGGCATACTCTCAAAACTAGACAGTGATTCCTTATATTTCCATTTCACTGTGAAATAAAATTGTAGACTTAGACATTAAGAATGTGGATTTAATTTGAATTACACGAGGACTTCCATGCCAATTTCAATAGTCCTCGCACACTGACGTCAAACACAAAGGCAGCCGCACGAGATTTACATGCATATTTGGCCTCCTTAGCGTCAGACACAGAGACAGATGCGCACGAGATTTGCATGCGTATTAGGCCTCCTTAGCTTCTGACCTATCGACCTGCCTAATTTACATTCCGGCAGAATTATCAGAAAATCAACTCCGCTCACTTTCAAAGGGTTATTATAGAGAAAAAATTTAGAAATGGAAATATATCTGCATCTGTCTCTGTGTCTGACGCCAAGGATGCCAAATATGCATGAAAATCTCGTGCGGCTGCAATTGTGTTCAAGACGTCAGTGGGAGAGGGGTATGGAAATTGGCAAGGGAGTCTTCATGTAATTTAAATCTATGTCAACATTTTAAAAATATAAATCTACAATTTTATTTCACAGTGAAACAGAAATATAAGGAATCACTGTCTAGTTCGTATAGTATGCCAGGGACATCAACGATAGTGGGAAACATGGGATAAAAGCATAACGGGCGAAGCCCGTTTTGCTTAAATTATCCCATGTTTCCCACTATCGTTGATGCCCTAGCATACTATACGAACTAGACAGTGCATGATTCCTTAATTAGTCCTCTCCAATTTTAATGTACATCTGTCACCATTCTGCTCATGCGCAAATCACGTGATATAGGCGGTCACGTGACACCTCCGTAGCGTTCTGTCACAAAAGCTGAAAGATTTTTCTGAGTTTTATATTTCTTTCCATGTAAGTTAATATTTATAACAAGAACAGTTCATTTGTCAGAAATGATCAAATCTCGGCAACAGAATGGGTGGATAAGAATTTTTATCCTTTCCAAAAATATTCTGTCTCGGGAGAGACGTTTGTCCAAGGTGTATAGAGAATGGGTGCCTCCTTTTCATCACATCTAATATGTTTAAAATCTAAAGTAAAATTAATGATATTTTAGGTATTTGGTAATTATATTATTGTTGAAACATTCATATATTTTTCAGAGTGTAAATTGGTGGTCTTTGATAGCAAATTGCTTAAATAAAAATACATCTCTTTTCAAACTTGCTCTCACTGGGCAACATAACAAGTATCATTTTTAACCATCTGCCTTCCTTCACTTAAACGATCAATCCAATCATTGATTGAATTTATAGGAAGTCATATGTCTCAATAAACTGTGTACAAATTATTATACGCTACTTCAAAGGGATTTCTAAGATATATAAATTTTACAGTCGTTTGTTGAACGAGCTCGACTGAGACAACCATTTTTCGTCACAAGTGACCTGCATAGTGACGTCATTTTCACATTGTGACGTCACAAACAAGGAGCAAAACTTTATTCAGCATATGCTATTTGGGCCATTTTCAAAAAAAGTCCACTTTTTTGTCTTTTGATCAGAATAATAGGAAAACATTTTATAGAGTGAAATTTTTTTTCCCGTTGGTTAATATACATGGTCATATAGCTTATAAGTAATTTTATGATCATCTCCCAGGTGTTTTATAAAAAATATTCTCTGCATTCCGAGTAAAATTTAACAGTAAAACCATGTCACATTAACAAAAATTTTATAACGCGCTTATTTAAACGATAAGGAAATTTTTACCCTGTGAAGATATGTACAAATTTTGCACCTCATTTTAATTGAATTCATATACAGAATAATTTAATATGATTGTTTTACTTATGCCGCCCACTAAATACTAGTATCGTGCATTTAACATTCAGGAAGTGACATGTCCCACCAGTTTATGTCATTCCTGTTATCAGAAAGAAAATGTTAAAATAAAAGATATCTCACTTTACTAGGAACTGTTTTCATGATCCACAATATATCATCATTTTCTGTTGTCTCAAGTTTATGAGCGCCATGATTTGAAAGTGAGTAAAGAAAGGGTTCAAAGGTCGATAAGTTTGTCTTATTGGTAGAGTATAATGAAAATATGTCCTATCTGTTACCTTCATAATATGCAAATACTCTTTAAATTGTTTATTCTGCTAAAACAATCAGA